CCACTTTGTCTAATGAAAAAGTCATCAGGCCTAACCTTTCTGCTTGCATGTGGGCAAGGGTGTCACCAAAGATTGACTCAGTTTCTGCAAGTAAAAAGACCTTGCTTTGAGTCAAGACACAAATAAATGCGGGAGGGGGACTTGTCCAGCAGTAAATGCCACACTCTGATAAGAAATGAATCTCAATTAGGGTCATTAATCATGAGGAGAGGGAATCGGTGACAGGCTGAGCGCTCCACAGGCCGCCGTCTGCAGACGAGCAGAGCAGCGGAAATTGTGAAATTACCTCAAACGTCAAACTGTGGAAGATAATGCAATGCTGTCATCGCAGTCAGTGTCAGATGCTGAGACAATACATCCTAGCTGTAGGATCACGCAATGTTAGAATAAACCTGCAAACAGAGGTTGTCGTGTTCCACCCGTGAGTTATTTGTTTGTTAATCAGCAGTGCCTTTGACGTACAAAGCGCGGTTTGCACAGCGCTCAATGGACAATGTGTTACAATTGAAGTGACATTGTGGGTACTGGTTTACATATAGTTTTCCTAGCAGTTTTGACCTTTTAGTGTCTGATCTGCCTAATGTTGTGCCTGCCCATTTCTTATCTGGCCTGTTTTATGAAAACATCCATTTATAATTGATGAGCACTGCACAGTATTCTCCCATCACAGAAAGCTACAGTATAATGACATACTATAACTCTATTGTTTGTTGGCCGTGTGTGGCATTCCCAGTTGCACTTCCATGAGCTGCATCCTCTGGAATCGTCGCTTTATCTCGCCTCCATCATATCCTAGCTCTTCGTAATCCACACACAGACCGCATAAGAGTCTGCACCTGCACAGTTCTGCTGAAAGCACAGAATAGACCTTTATCACAAGGCTTCAGTTGTAGGGTGAAAAACCTTCTGCTTTAGATTTTTTTATGCATAATTCATCCCAAAGAGTTCATCTAAACAGACATAGTACCTCAGTTTCCAATTGGTTGAAGATAAGATAAGATTATTTGCCATTCAGCTGGATGAACACATGTATTTTCCAGTATCGGGAGGATAAGTGTGTGTAAGCAGACTGCTTTTTCATGACAGAAATGCAACACTGCAATACAAGCAATAGTACATCATTAGAACAACATAAGAACAAGACATGGGCCTACAAAAAAATAATAATCATAAAAAATAAATAAAAAAGGGTCATTGAGTAATGATTGTGCAGAGTAAATCATAATAATGTTTGCATTGATTTCATGTCCTTAGTATTTGATTTCATCATCATGAATGTTTTAAAACCCATTTTATATTGGCCGAATTAAAGAATACTTCTTTTAAAAGAGTCGGACAATTCAGAAACCATTGGTTTAAATATATTTCACATGGAGTGGTACCCTCCTGGTTTCAGTGAAATGGTTTGGGCATGTGTTCAAATGTGCATGTCAAGATAAATTATGGATTGTGAGGTATGTATGATGATAAATGATGTAAAAATTGTAAAGAATTAAATATTTTAATAAAGGCAAAAACGTCACTGTCTGTGGTAAAATTAGGTTTGAAGTACAAATGGGAAATCAACATTCACAGTAACGTTAACATCAAAGGTTATACTGATTTTTCCTCAAGTACAATGCTGTACCAGGTGAGCTACCGAGCAAGTTTACTAACTTAGAAAAGCCATACAAACAGTATGGAGCTGATCATGTGATGAAAGGATGAAAAAGTGTAAGTTTACAAATCATGTGCTATGGTAAGAAAAAAAAACAGTTGAGGCCATATTGTGCCAGGAATCTGATTCCTTATACTTTCAGTGAACACAGCAATTAAATCTGCTAAAGTGTCTTGACTGATTCATAATTTCAACGTTCATTACGATGATGAGTCAAACAGGACCCCTGGGACACCCCATCCGTGTCCACGGAAGAGCATCCACACAGGAGACCTCCACGCAGCTGGTGAAGCCAAGGCCTCCAAACACACACTTCAGCCAAGATGCTAAATAATTCATTGACGTCAGCTGAAATATAATCAGGAGCTTGCACATAACAAACCCGCGCAGGGAAGCTAATCAATGCAGTTTTGCAAGCGTACTGATATCTATTGTGTGTGCATCTATCAAACACAGATACTGTATCACTGAACTGGTGCATGCATGTGTGCTTGGTATTCTGTAATGGTACAGTACAGATGGGTGCATGTGGGAGTACAGTAAGTGTGATGTCAGTGCTATTGCAGTGTATACAGTACCTGTTTCCTTGCTGGGTATCATCCTAATTAAACCAAACTGCTTTGAAAGACACCACAGGCGACCATGCAACACTGCAGTCAGCCTAGCCTCATGCTGCCTGTTATCGCATGATTCCCATTAAAAACTATTTTTTAAAAGAAAATTTTTTTGTAACTGAATTCTCCTCTAGGCAACACAATTACATTAAGCCTCACATTCACAGAGCAATCGCTCAGCCATTACCCCATCACAGGAGCATTTCTGAGTCTCAGGGTGTGAGGAGGTCTCCTGCTCATCAACAAGACTGTGAAATAGCTCCAATTCTCCCTGTCACTTGAACTGACTGTTGCTGAATCGAAGAGACTGAATGCTAAAATACGAAAATGACAAGTGTGGGAAATTACAGCCTGCACACCAAAAGAGTTGCTGTCCGAATTTGGGTTTCACATATGAAATGCAACTGCAGAGTTGCAGAAAGAAAGAAAAAACATAAGTTTTCTTCTTATAATAATTATTATGCAATAATGTAGAAACCTTCAAGACAGACTTATCATGAGTCTGAGATGCAAAAATGTATGTGTCTATAGAGGCCTGTAATTTATATTATTTTATTTATTTATTTATTTTTATTATAATGGTTAATAGTCAGACTTGGTGTAAGTTATGAAAACATGGTGTGTGTACACACACACACACACACACACACACACAGCACTTTTGCTTCCAAACAAAGTTTTAATACTGTGATTCGTGACTTAGGACTCTTTATTGAAAACATTCTTGAAATGAAGATGGGGGTGATGGTAATGTGGTCACTGATGAATTCTTGTCTTTGTCACTGTTTATGAAAATAAATAACCTTTGGTTGCTTTGTCGCTAGAAATGGTTGTCAGTGTGAATGCCTCTTTAGAGGCTGTCTGTTATGTTGCACAATTGTTTTACACTAGTAGCATTTCATTCTACTGCTGCTGTCTTTCAGTTTTGATGTAATGGAAAATTTAGAATTGCATATGTAAATTAGTTGGCCAAATTGTTTTAAATTCTTCCTCCTGCTTTGCGTCGACTGAATGCTCATTTGGAATTTGACATCATTATCGTCCCAGCGTGCCCTGTATTTGTGGCCGATTCTACCGGCTCCAATTAGGCTGAAGTCTAATTACTTTCATTTAGTAAGGTATTAATTCAGAATTCACCCTCTCCCCACTCTCATTAGTTCCGGCAGAATCTATCAGACAGTATAATTACAGTAGCCTGTTTGGAGTAGAAAAGGGGAAGAAATGAACAGAAAGTGCCCGTATGACATGACGATATTCATCGACTGACATATAAATGTGATTTCTGTTGCTTTATAGTTCATTTCGGTTGTTTTATTTCCTTGGTTGACATTTATGTGGTTTTGGTCGTTTGGGTTATAGGTGGTGTGAGCGAACGGTATAGCCCTTTAAGGAGTTGTTTGAGCGTTTGGTTTATTGTAGCCATATATGTCTGGTCTGTTTCATTAGACCTTGAAAACTGCTGCAGGTCATCAGACATCCAGGAGCTTTCCTGATTTCACACACAGATAGATCTACTCTGCTGTATGACCCTTCAGGCTGTACAAGATATTGTCAAAGCGATCTTGTTGTTCTCTCTCTGAGGATTAAGTGAGTGACTGTTCTGTTGTGCACTTTGTTGGGCACACAAATTAGAGTAAATCTGCCTTTCTTGTGTTTTATCACCTGTAGGGCATCTATGAACACCATCATCCATGGCTGTAGATCCCAGAAGGACATGTCCACACGTCCACGCCAATCATTACCATCATTACCATTTACCATCATGTAAATCAATAGGGCAAGATGCCACTGGCCACCCCTTATTGACCCTCTTGAACATAGATGGCCCAAAAAAATCGTCTCAATACATTTAATGAAAGGCTTTAATCCTATTAGTTTTGTCAGTTCATCTGAACATGAACATTTGTGCAATTTAGGCAGTCAAAACAGTTTTGAGGTTAATTGATCTAATTTCGTGCCTTTGTAAAATACTGTTTTGTGACATTGTATTATATGGAATATCAAAGTTTTTTGTGTCTCTTAATAGAGGGTTTGTGGACACATTAAAGTTTTTAGATTTGTGGAAATATTGTCTTTATTTTGCCAAAAATTGGTAAGGCTTGAGTGACATGTTACTAGTGTTATTATTTGTTTTTAATAATTTATTATTATTATTATTATTATTATTAACTAATTACATTAGATGTATAGGCTATTTTAGTCATCTTCACTTATTAAAGGCAGGGTATGTGATTGCTCACGTCCGTAGACATGGTGTAACATTGGTTTTGCTTTGTTTCACAGAACTAATCGTTGCTTGGGTTGCGTAGGTATATGTGGGGCGGAGCTATCAAAATAGGGGCAAGACCCTTTTGGGGTAGGGGCGTGTTTGTTTTGGTGATTTCAAATATCAACATTGGATACCAGAAATCGCTTACTCTGCCTTTAAAATCTATATTGAGTGAAATCGAGTGAAATAATTAAATTTGAATATAAAAATACGAGCAATTAAATATTTATATATATGCCTATGCCTTTATATCATTTTACATAGATAGATAGATAGATAGATAGATAATGTCACATTAACAAAAAATATAAATGTATTATTATTATTATTACTATTATTATAGTGGAGATATATTTATTTTTGTTAACGACTTCATTAATGAAAGTGTTGAACGTTAAGAGTAAAGCTGTTATAAATGGAGCACGTCTACGGGTGTTGTGCAATGTAACCAGCAGGAGTCTCATGATCTCAGGCTGGCCGCTGCAGAAGTTTGGCTTGATGAAAGTTCAGAGCGCGGAAGTGAAGAGAAACTTTCGCATGAATCTCTGCAAGAGAGCGACACTTTCCGCGTTTGAGTGTGGATAAGGATGATAATGATGAGACGGATCCGCCAGTCTGTCTGAGGAAACACGGAGTTGCACTGTTCTGTGAGGCTTTATTTCAGGTCTGATTATGGGGTTACCGACTCTAGAGTTCAGTGACTCTTTTGTGGACAGTCCGGACTTTAGAGAGAGACTCAAATGTCACGAGATCGAGCTGGACCGAACAAACACGTTCATCAAAGAGCTGATTAAAGATGGACACCAGCTGATCTGCGCGCTCAAGAGTGAGTACACAACACATCGCTATAATAACACCCGCATCTCTACTATCACCGCTAATGTTGGCTGTAACTCAATACCTAGTGTGCTGTCTACTTAGAAAGCATGTGGTCACTATAGGCGTGTTTTAAAGCGCGCGTGGGACGTTCAACAATGGTGTCTAGGTAGGCGTCTCACTAGGTTTTGAGACACAGCCAACGTGATGACTGAGAAATATCAGTTTGTTTATTCTCTCCTGTGATCACAAATAATACCACTAATAATAAAAAATTGAACATTTTTATTAAATAAATAAAACAACAACAACAACAACAACAAAAAAAAACATTACTCTTATTTCCAAAAATGGAAAATGCATAGATGTCCATTTTTTTTGTTTCAAAAAGACACAAAATCACTGATAAAATGACTGTATCTAACAATTAACACAGCATGAAATGTCACTGGTTTTAATCACATCAGACAAAATGATTTTAGCCTCACCTCACTGATCTTTCTCTGCTGTATCCAATAATTATTTTTATAGAACAATGTGATATTTCAACTATTTTAAAACATAATATTTAGCGTAACCCTGTTACTGCATGTTGTCCCTTCTATTAAAAAAGCATGATAGGAAACCAAGTAAATAATCTCATTACATTTGATCAAATTATGCACAAATTGTAGTGTTGACAGAATCTCTCAAGCTCAACTATATTCAACACAGTCAACAAACACAAAATTACCAATGAAACATTTTTTATTTAATTCATTAAAAAATACTTACTTTTATGTTGAATTGCAGCCCTGTTATTTACAGTGCAACCTTGTTAACCAGTCGAGCGTTCTGTAGAACATTTAATCTAAATTTCCATATGCGTAATCAATGTTTATTGCTTTGAATTTAATTTAAATTGAAACAGCACATGCATACGGACAAGCAAGATTCTAGCCTTAGTTCGCAGCCTTTTTATGAAAGTGACATATTAACAAATGTTATTTCGTTATAAATATGCATGTCTGATCAGATAAATTAATGTACATTCAAATAGGCCTAGTTAGAAATGTTCTGAAATTTTGACTAATAAATGTTGATGTCATATGTAATGTGTTAAGGTAGCCTAACTATAAAATTACAGAAGTATAGAGATTTTTTTTTTTTTCTGGTCAGGGTAGAGACAGAAAAGGAGAACAAACATTTTGAAATGTTAAGTGTCAACATTTCTATTTCAGTTCATGTTTGAATGTTTGTGTGATGGTATCTTCTCCGAGTTTATCTGAAGTTCTAAATGGCGAATAGTTTACTGATCAAGGCCATAGATACACTGAGACTGCTGTGATACTCAGTGTAGTCTGTCACTAGAGGCTTTTGGTTTATTAGCCACTTACACTGATGAGTGCTTTTCTTGAAAAAAGAATCATGGTGAAATTCAGGTGATTTTTTTGTTTTCTTTTAGACCTAAATAGTATGCAGGATTAAAATGAGTATGCCAAAGGTGCTCAGATGGTGTATTTTCAACCTGATTTCATGGAAAAACCTATGGTGGTTTCATACAATGTGAATCGATTTTTAAATATTTACATTTTGAAATATGCAGCCGTGTTTGCATCCTTGCATGCTTTTTCAGCTAGTAATTTTCTGCCAGATGTATGAATGTAGATGTACTGTAAAGTCGTGGCCAAAAGTTTTGGCAGTGACATAAATGTTGTGTTTTGCAAAGTTTGCAGCTTAAGCTGTGGAATCGTGTCACCAGCAGTGCAGAGCTTGCTCAGGAATGGCAGCAGGTTGGTGTGAAAGCATCTGCTCGCACAGTGAGGCCAAGACTTTTGGATAACGGCCTGATGTCAAGAAGGGCAGCAAAGAAGCCAAGAAAAACTTCAAGGACAGACTGATATTCTGCAGGAAGTACAAGGATTGGACAGCAGAAGACTGGTGCAAAGTTATTTTCTCTGATGAAGCTCCCTATCGCCATCGTTCAGGATTTGGCCCAGAAGCAAATTTCCAGCATGCTAGAGCGAATTGCAGAGGTTATGAAAAACAATGGTCAACACTGTAAATATTGACTCATTATATTTTTTTGCCAATAAAAGCCTTAAAACTTATGATATGCTTATCATCGTTTTTCAGTATACCATAGAAACATGTGGGAAAATAATCTACAAATACTGAAGCAGCAAACTTTGCAAAACACAACATTTATGTCACTGCCAAAACTTTTGGCCATGACTGTACAGTGTGTGGAATACTGGAATTGTGATTGTAGAGGATTGTGGGTAAATACAGTATGAGCCCCTGCCCCCCTCAAGGTTGCCCCCCTGGATCATCTGATTCCCATGCCAAGGCCGTGAAAATGCTGCGGCTTCTTTTGTGTGTGTGTGCAGGGCTCTAGACTCATTCTTCCAAGTTCCAACTGGTCGTACTGATGGGACTAACTTTCTGAATTGGTCGCCCAAGCACATGATTTGGTCGCACTTTTTAAAAATGAATTGATTAATTGCAATATCTGTCTGTATGTCTGTCAGGCTTGCTGCGGCGGTCGGTGTTACCGGTATTACCAGGTTATTATTATTATCGCAGGTATTACATTACTTACCCAACGCATTACCACCCCCACTTTTTGCTATTTTAAAGAATTAAAAACTATTAAATTCAGTTGGACAACAGATGCTACAATTGTACAATTTTACAATTTTTAAGGTAATCTGCTATCGACCTTTTCATTTTTTTTTCCATCAACTTAATTCCTAAATTTCCTGAATACCTAATTTGCGATCACACAAATGTGGCCACGTCAAATTTGAACTCGCACATTCTCAAAAAACGGTCGCAGGCTAGAGCCCTGGTGTGTGTGTGTGTAATTGAGACTTTCAATATTATGTGGCACTACTGACCTTCAAACATAGAAACAAAAGATAACGTTTTTGTCACAGAGTCACCAGCAACGCCAGATTCTTTAGCTCCACCCACTCGTTCACAATCATCAGAATTCTGATGCACTTCACCTGTCAGCACCGATCAAGTCACAATATAAAACCACCAGTTTTTAGTGAATGCCACATTAGCTCTAAGATAACAGCAGACAATGGTAGAACTGTCTAATGTTGTTAAAGAAATAATTCAACCAACAATGAAAATTCATTCATCATTTAATCACCCACTTTTTATTATTTTACAGTGAATTTTTTAAAACTTAAAAAAAGGACACAAAAGCGTAGAAGTGTAATATAAGTGGTCAGTGTGACTTGTGGATTATATTTAGTCTTCTGAAGCCATACGATAACTCCTTGTTGAGTCAATGAGTTGAATTTAATCAGATCAGTTCGTTTGTGAATGAATCATTTGGAACACTGGAACAATGACTTCATTAAAGGAATAGTTCACTCAAACATGAAAATTTGCTGCAAATGTACTCGCCCTTAGCATATCCAAGATGTAGATTAGTTTTTCATCTGAACAGATTAGGAGAAATTTAGCATTTTATTATTTGCTCACCAATGGATCCTCTGCAGTGAATGGGTGCCGTCAGAATTAAAGTCCAAACAGCTGATAAAAACATCACAATAATCCACACAACTCCAGTCCATCAATTACCGTCTTGTGAAATGAAAAGAAACATATTTCTATTTCAGTTATGTGAAACAAATCCATCTTTAGACAAATCCATCAAGGCATTTTAACAGTTTAAAAACTGTTGCTTCTGGCCAAAATGTGAATCCATAATAACACTTGCTTCAGTTAAAAAGTCCTATTGTCCTCTCACATCAAAATCCACTGACATAATGTGTTTGTTTAAAATGGTTTGGGCTATTTTTGCTTGTAAATGGTGCTTGATCTGTGCACATTTCTATCCTGATGCAAACTAAGCAAATGTATCCCTGGACAAAGCAATAGTGTACTGTAGATAGAGAACTCCTATTTTAGCCATAAGCCACGTTTGAATTTAAAAATGTCTTAATGATGAATTGTTTATTACAAACATGCTGTTTTTTTTCCCTTTACAAGACATTAATTGATGGACAGGAGTCATGTGGATTACTTGTGGATTATTGTGATGTTATTGTGATGTTACTTGTGGATTATCATCAGACATCTCTCATATAGTCTCATTATGGTGTCACAGATAGCTGGGACTGATGTCAAGATTTTTAGTGAATAATGTCTTAAATTTCAGTATGTTCATCACACAAAGCTATCAACTGGCTTCAGAGGACTTGAAATACCATACACAAGGAAAATGAACTTCTTTTGCATTCTTTTTGAAGCTTGCAAGCCTCAGTCATAATTCAGCTGCATGGAAAAGAGCATATAAGCGGGATTAAAAGTCTCTCCTTTTGTGTTCTGTGGGGAAAATGAGGCTTGGAACAGCATGAGGGTGAATAAATGATGACATAATTTTTACTTTCAGGTGAACTATTCCTTTCGAGTTACTTGCCTATCAAAGTTACTTTCTGTGACACTCATAAAACTCTTATGTCCTTTAGATTACTTCACATGGCACACACAGACACAGACTTGCAGTATAATACAAAAACTTTCAAAAATTGTATAAAGGAATAATTGTCCTAAAAGCTCTGTTTCACATAGGTCTTTGATCCCTCTCTGTACTGTAAATGTGTTGCTTTAACCTTGCTTTCTACCCAGCAGGAAACTTTTAAAACTAGCATTTCTTTTTAGCATTCAGAGACGCTTTTAAAATACTTCTCTCCGGTCAAATGAACCCAAATGAATAATACTGTCTTTCACACTGATGTGTCACCGGGCGGCAGTGTAATTTTGTTCACTTCATTCAATGCTTCAGTGGGGTGCATGTTTTTGGAAAGGTCACATAATTCTGGAGTTAACGGCGGCACATAGTGACATAGGGTCGGTTTTTCGTAATCTAATTGATGACGTTTACTTTATTAATGCATGTTGTTCATCGAAATTGTTAGTGTTTGATCAGTGCACGTGTGAATCCAAACAAAAACAATTTCATATTTGGAGCTAGCCATCATACAACACCATTGTAGTTGACGTGTAAAT